TTATTTGAGTGGTGGGTAAACTGAGGTAGGCTCTTTGGAAGGTGATTAGATCATGGGGTGGTATAGCTGACTTGCAACTAGGATGTAGGGTGTGTTTGGAAGAGGTGGGTCACTGTGTATCTCCCTGCCTGCTCCTCCCTACATGCGGGCTTCCTGACTGCCAGGAGTAAGCAGTTTTCCTCTGTCCTGGCCCTCTGCTGCGCTCTCTTCTTTGGAGCCAGGTAACCATGGACTGAAAGTGAGCCTGAAGAAACCTCTCCTCCCTTACATTGCAGGTGCTGGGTATTTTGTCCCAGAAACAAGGAAAGTGACTAAGACAGGGTATGTCCCATGTGTGCACATGCACGTGTGGATGTGTGCATGAGCAAACCCATGCACAGAGGGCAGGACTTTTACACAGGTAGAGGGGGTGGGACTCTGCGTTTTCTCCCTGGTCCACCCAGCTTACTTAGCCTGTCCATCTTTACCGGAAAGAAATAGCGAGTGCATCTGTGTGTGTCAAGAGACTCCTGGCCCTCCTCACATGCAGACAGCTCGAAGACCTGCTCCACATCTCAGCTCCTCTAGCCAAAGCTGCCAGGGAGGGACCTAAGCTAAAGGCCGCAGGGCTGGGGACAGGAAAGGAGGGTGGGCTTGGTCTCTTACAAGGCTGCCACTGGAATGAAGGAGGAAGACCAGGCCAGGTCCCACCCTTCAGGACAATGAGAGGGACAGTGGTACCTGGGGAAGCCTTGGCAAGAGGGGATCTCAAGGTCTTCCCATCAGCCTGAGGGCCTGCTTTTGCAGAGTAGATGTGAATTTGTTACTAGTCCAAAACATACATACATTTAATTTAAGAAATGAATGTGGTTGATCCTTATGTACTGGTATAAAATGATCTCCCAGTAAACAAAGCAAATGGGAGAACAATTTGTACAGTACCAGTTCAAGTATAAATCATCCCAAGCTATTAATGGGGGTTAATTGGGTGGGGAGGGTAAAGAGATTGTGATGAGGGAGAAAGGCAGCTCTCTTTTTTGCTTAATATATATGCCTATGTTTGGGTGTCTTTACAATACACATATATTTATAAATTGCTTGAATACTTTTTTAAGCACTAAAACTTGAAAAAATGTATTGAGCCAGGTGTGGTGGTATGCACCTGTAATCCCAGCACTCAGGAGGCTGAGGCAGGAGGATTACTGCAAGTTCAAGGCCAGCCTGGGCTACACAGTGAGTTCAAGGTCAGTCTGAACTACATGGTGAGAACTTGTCTCAAAATGCACCCCCCCAAAAAAAGAAAATAATATATATTGATGGTGTTTAAACCTCTCTAGCAAAAACTAAGAACGGCTGAAAAGGTAAGAGGTTGGATATTAAGCATAAACCTGCATCCTGTAACCGTCACCCCCAATTTGTCCTGATTCTGCATGCACACATTCTGCACAACTACGCAGCTAAAAGGGATGGAAAATCTCCCAGTGTACTCACACTTCCTCCCTTTCAATAGCCAGAGCAGACAGTACTAGTTGCTGATGCTTTCAGCTCCGGGGACCATGCTCTGGAAACCACTGGCACGGAGTGTGACATTCTCCTGCTTCCCTGGGCAGTGGGTTTTAAAGCTGGAGAGGATACAAAGAAGCAAAGGTGCCCGTCAGGTGCATCCCAACCATTCTACTTCCTTGGCCTTCCTGGAGTGAGGATAAGCAATTTGGAATTCAGGTTGGCTCAGCTGCAAGTCTTCCTGTGGGGCAGGTCGACTGAGGAGTCCCTGGTTCTCGTCCCCCTTCCATCAGAGATGTGAGCCTTTAAACTCTGGCTTATTCAACTCTATAATTGGCCCTATTAAAGCAAGTAAAATGTTCTTACTCAACAGCCATTTTCTGCTTTGTTTACTTCTCACTGTTTTCTAAGAATGGGTCCTACCCAACCTGAGGGCCACCTGGGTTTTGAGTGTTGCTAATGAGGTTGGGAATCAAAGCTGGAAGGTAAGGATAGAATAAAACTGAAGTGCTCTGAATGCATTTTAGAGAACTTGCATGTGTCTGTGAAAATCTAGGAGGGAGGAGTCAGGATCTAGTGAGTTCAAATTACTCGGGGAGAAGAAGGAAAGGGAAAAACTCCAAATCCTGCCCTATCCTAGGCCATCCAATGGCCTGACATCGAGGAGGGGTGTCTAGACAACAGAAATATCCACAGAGAATTTTTGAATAGTTTAAGAGACCTGTATGCAGTGTACATTCCTTTCATCTCCCCAGTGTAATGTTCAGTAAAATTTACATTGCTTCTTAGTATTTGATGTGAGTGGATGCCTTAGAAAACTCAAAGGTGACGAATTCTACATTGGATGCTGAATGATCCCAGAGACAGCTCCTACAGAAGGTAGAGCTGGGCCAAGGACACAAATGACCCTGGGTTTCCCTTGTTCAGAGCCAATAATTCTTGCCTAACTCCAATACCCGGGCCTCCAGAGCTCACAGATACCAGTACCTGTCCTTCCATTCTCGCCTTGTTCACAGTTGCAAGAAGATTGAATTTTTGGTGTGTGTAGGGAAATACTAAGATGTATTTTTCTGCCTAGAAAAGATGAGAGGGGGCTCTCCTGGAAAGAAGGAGGAGGATGCAGCAGAAGCAATCCATCCTCTGGAGAAAAGGTAAGTTATGTCACAGCCCCCAGGTGAATTATAAGAACAGACTTCTGGATGAGAGAGAGGACCTGAGAAGATGACACAGCAGCTCTGCCCAGTGGGGCCAGCAAGGAGTGGGGGCCCTCTGTTGGCAGAGGGGGTGCCAAGCGAGACAGAGGAGTGGCAGTGAATGGGTGATGGGCTTCTTCTTCTGTATCTTGGGCATTGATCCCTTGTGGGTGGCTTCAGGTGATCTGGGATCTAGTGCAACAAAGGCTGGAAATCTCATTATCTCTGTGCCGTTGCTGAAGAACAATTCGGCCTTGTTGGCAGGGTTGAGGTTCTTGGGAAAGGGTAGCAGATGAGAAGGCTGCTAACAGTACAACCCAGAGGACCCAGATGAGAAAAGCCCTAAGGACAGCATGGGATGGTCACAGGGTCCGTTCCGTGGTGATGGTAGGAGCAGTGCTCTCACTGGGCCAGGTAGGGACTGATCTTTCCTTTCTCCACTTCTTCATTTTGTCCTTTGTTCCTGGCTGGCTACGAGGTGCGTGGCCTCAGAAACATAGGAGCCTTAGGTCCTCTTTGCAAGAGACAGCTCCAAGGCTGTCTCTAGACACCCAGATGTTCCCTCCCTGGCTGCCACATCCAAAGCAGCAGCAGATGATAAGAGCAATATAGCCACAAGAAGCCAACATCAGCTTGTGATTTCCGATTCAGTTAGGCAGAAGCTGATAAGCAGAGGGGGCTGCCCATGAGGGCCATGCTGCTTGGCCACTGCTGAAGCTTGAGCCTGCAGGGAGGTCTTGATCCTTAATCGTGTCCTCAGCTTATTCAGTTCATTCATTCATTCATTTGCTCTATTTGATGAGCTTAACCCATGATGGAGAGATTAATGAGTAAGCCCTGGCCGCTGCTCTCCCAAAACTTATTGAGGGCACAGAGGAGATACCTGGAAGGCATGTGATCTAAGAACTCCAGTGCAGATGCAAGATAGAGTGTGATTCCAGTCACAGGAGGGGACAGAAAAGAGAGAGAGCCATGGGAGGGAGGCAAGCAGTACAGTAAATGACTTGCATTTCTGGACTTTTTTTTTTTTTTTCAAATGGGCTCTTCTGCAAAATAAGAGATCAGAATGAATCCAGTCAAGGCCTCACAGAAAAAGATCAGTGACTTCAGAGCCCCAGAGCGCTTTGGTTGCAAGTGACAGGAGCCCAATTCAAACAGGCTTAATCCAGAAAAGATGGGGAATATATTGGATCATATAGTCAATCGGTTCAAGAGCAGATTAGACATCAGGGTTTCAGGCATAGCTGAATCCAGACATTCAAAGCAGGCTGTTTGCAAACTGTCTCTCTTCATACCCATTTGCTTACTAGGCCCAGGATGAAAATGTTGTCTAACTTTTTCAAAGTTCTAGAAATGTTTTGGCAGCAGCCCCATCTTCCAGTTGATTTGCTTTCCCCAGCTCCACTGTCCTTGCCCAGAGCAAACTGTTGATATCCTTGACCACCGCTCCCTTTGACATTTTCCTTCCCCAGCTTTTGTTTCTGCCTCTTTAACTTCTTTTGTTGCTCTTCCCTGCTGGGGGAAGGATGACAAAGAGTGAGCTAGGAGAAGCTTTGGGAAAAGAATCCTTCAGTCTGGATTATTAAACTACATTACCTTCTGGATGTGGCGGAGGAAGGGGCTAAAACACAAGATTGGAGGTTAAGGAGAGATCAGACCATGCAAGTCACACTAAGGAGTTTAGCCACTCTCTTGAAAGTAATAGGGAGCCATCAAAGGTTGTAGCAGGTGTGTACACAATCAGATTTGCATTTCACTGTCAGAAAGAGCCCTCTAGCTGTGGGAGGGAGCAGGATTAGAGGGAGCCTGTGGGACGTTGCAGTGTTTCAGGAGAAAAACCACAAGGACCTTATGAGCCAGTGACAGCCATAGGGGTGGGAAAAAGTAGAAAATTCTTAAAATATTGACAGGACTTTGTGCAGTTTAGATGGAACAGGTGGGGGGGGGTTCTGTTTTGAGGTGAGAAACAGAGTGGCGTATCTGGGGGAAATGATGAACTTGGTTTGTGTTTCTTGGGTCTGAGTTGCTTGAAGAACATCTGGCTGGCTATGTCTGGGATGGGGGAGGGTTGGCAGGTCTGGGGCTCTTGAGAGCAGAAAGAGGTCAGGGCTTCTGTGCCTCCGCCATCTCAGTGCCGGGGAGGGTCCCTAAGGAGGTGCCCCATCCTGCCTGATGGTGTTGGTTGTACCAGATCAGAATACAGAACCTCCAGTGACTCAGGGTGACCACAGAGACTTCTTCAGAAAGCAGCCTCATAGCAGGACGTGTCTGGGAGGAGCTTTGAGGGCGACTGGAAGGGGAAGGAAGGGGAGGGACAGCACTAGCCTGTGAAACACTGGGCTCTTCTCTGCAGATGTGGAGCCAACAGTCAGTCCTGAAGACCCTTGTTGGGGATCCTCCCACACATCTGATTCCTTGGGCTGCTGGCTTTGTGGGACAGAACTGTGGGGGAGCTCATCCGCCGGAAGATTTGGGGAGCTGAGGAGCTGTAGTGCAGCCAAGGTAGGTGCTGGCTGGGTGTTGGCTTCTGGAGAGAGAGCCAGGAGAAATCTGAGCAAAGCAGAGAGCAGGCAGAGGGGCTGGGGAGGAGAGGTATTGGAGGGAGAGCCCCTGAGGAGCCAGGACACCCCTGGCTCTCAGGAATCCAAGTCCTCAGCTGCTGAAACCTGCCTTTCTGAGCAGGGTTACCCAGATGCACAGCTCCTAGGACCATTCTGCATGGTTAAGATCACTCAACCCATCTTCATACAATAAAAGGATGCAGGGCCCTATAAGGGGCCTTCTCCTTTCTTCTCCTTCAATGCTATACATGCCAGTGCTAACAAGACTAATGACCCATGCTCCAAATGTAGCATATCCTCATTATCCCATTCGATTCTCACTAGCAATTGGAAGTTGGCTGGATACATGTATTCATGCCCATTTTTTAGGTCAGGAGAGTGAGGTTTAGAAAAGCAAAGCAACCTGCCAGAATTGCAGGGTGGGTAGAACAGCAAGACTTAAAGTGCATCGTCTGGCTCCTTGTCTATGACGCCCTGGGACTTCATCTGTCCATCCCTCTCCTGGGTCACACTGGTCTGGCTGATTCTGTCTATGCACAGGGCCTCAGCAGCTTTCCCCTCTGCAGAGCATGGCGGAGGCCTGGCTTTTGTCCTCAAGGAGCTGACCATCTGTCCTGGGAGCTGAGGCACGGCTGTGAATGTCCGACAGAGAAATTAAATGCCCTGAGGTCCCCAGGGAGATAGGCTGTGGTTGGAGTGGGAGGAGAGACATTCTGGTGCAGGACCAGGGAGGGCTCTGGGGATAGTGGCATCTGAGCTGAGGTTTCAGGGAACGGAGGGCCTGGTGTGCAGAAATGAGGCAAGAGCATCCCGGTGGAGGGAAACAGAATACCCAAACCCAGATGCAAGAAAGGGGATGCACAAGTCAGGATCAGGGACGGGCAGCAAGAGGCCCCTTTTGGCTATTAAAGTGTAGAATTTGAGGAGCACTCTCATGCATGAGCCTGCCTATTCCTTCATTTAGTCCTAGGTGGTTTTCAAATATTACCTCCTTTGGTCCTTATGACAGCCCTATGAGATAGATGCTGCTATTAGATTTTCTTTAAAGATAGGGAAACTGATGCACAAAAGTTTAAAGCAACTGGCCCAAGAGGTTCTAGCAACAAAGCAGATTGGAACACAGGCAGCATGCCGAGGGTACTGTGCCACACCACCTCTCACTAGGGCTTGCTCTATGCCCCCACTACCCCCATGCTGTCTCCAGAGAGTGCCCTGGATGGCACGAGGGAAGGAATGCTAGGATGTCTCCCTGCTGTCTGGCCCCCTTGGATCCTGCTGGGCTCCTGCTCCAGGGAACAATGCTTCCCGCCACCATGGGCTTCTTCCCTCCAGGTGTTTCCTTCCCAGCCAGGGTTAGACTGGGCTGAGGAAACCAGGGCCAGTCAGGAAAGCAGCACTCTCCTCCCCCATCCCAGCAATCTGTGAATCCTCATGGACCTCCTGGGGGTGAGACTGAGGGAGTCCCCTCTAAACTCAGAGCTCTGCCTCTCCCTCCCCCTCTCCAAGAGTCCATGAATCCCATGCTCTAAACCCTTTGTCTGGCAAGTCTGATACACCCTGGAACCCTGGAGTGAGACCATTCTGTGAGAGGGAAAGAAAGGAAAGAACCTGTGAGGAGGTGAAAGAGGAAGATGACAAGTGACACAGGCCATCTCTGTGCCGAGCAGTGGGCAGGACGGGAAGGAGGCCTATGTACAGGCCCCCCAGAAGCTCCTTGGCTTTCCTTCTCAGGATTGGTCCTGCAGGCATGGTCACAAGGAAGCAAGGTGTTTAGGGGTGTCCTACTGTCCAAACAGCTGCCCTGAGAGCAGGAAATGGGGTCTGGCATGGGCAGGGAACTGTCAGACCTGGATTCTTCAGAGCTGAGACAAGGATCCTGAGCCAGGCTTCTTCAGATCTGCCTCCAAGTCCTCTTTCTTCAGTTTTCATGTAGCCAGGAACTCATCCCCACACTGTCACATGCCAAGTACAGGGGTGAACAGGCTCCTGTTCACTCCTTGGGCCTATTCTATCCACAAGGACCTGCTATGTGTGCATCCGCCCTGAGGACAGGTCATGGCGAATGTTCTGAATTTCAGGAAGGATACACTCTGAATCCCTGTTCATCCCTTCATTTCTTCATTCATTTGTTTATTCTTCGTCTCTGGTCTCATCCTTTTGTCAAAAACTGTGAAGGATCTTCTTGTCCTACTTAGAACTAACAAGTTAACCTCACCACAATTTGTAGATTCAGGCAGAAGACACAAGACTGCAAAGACAAAGGACTTTATTACCACACAGTGAGCAGTGTGTGTCATGTCCACTGGTTTCTCTGGTCACCCAAGTCCCAGGTGGCAGCACGGAGCCAGCCCATATGGGAGTTGGGCATCACAACAGAGGATCCCTGTGCTTAGGAAACCTCGGGCTTTCCCCATGGGCTGCAAGCAAACCTGTCAACATCTCTATTACGATAGGTGGCAAATAAATCTGCTCTCAGCCTCTTTCAAGGATGTTTGCTACATAAATATTCCTGAAAAGATGGTTTCAAAAGAGCCCACCAAGTGAGTACAGCCCCCTATTCTCCCCTCACTTATTTCACCGCCGAGAATCCTCCCACCTCAAGACTCTGTCTCCTTGTTCTCTTTGCTAGGGGTCCTTTCCCTGCAAGTGTGGCATGGCTCTCCCTCGTCTCTTTCAGGTTTCTACTCAAGTCCCCTTTTAAAGTCACACACACACTTGGGGGTGGGTAGGGAGAATGGAGAAATGTTAGTTGAAGGGTTCAAAATTCATTTAGGATGAATAAGAAGTTATTTGAAGTATTTTGCATAGTATGGTGACCATAGTTAATAATAGTACTTGTATACACATGGTCCCTGATTTATGATGATTCAATTCAGGATTTTTTAGCTTTACAACAGTGACAAAGCATACCCACACAACCACTCTTGTTCTCACTTTTGGCACAGTATTGAGTTCCATGAGACATTCAATGCTTTATTATAGAACAGGCTTTGTGTTCCATGATTTGGCCCCAATATAGACTAATTCAAGTGTTCTAGGCTAAGCTACAATGGTCAGTAGTTTAAATGCATTAAATGCATTTGCAACTTATGATACTTTCAAACTTAAGGGTTTATCAGGATGTAACCTCTCTATAAATTGATAAGCATCTGTATTTCCAAATTGCAAAGAGAATAAATTTCAATGTTCTCACCACAAAAAAGGTTAAGTAGAGGCACATGCCTGTCTGTAATCCCAGTACTTGGTAGGCTGAGGAAGGAGAACCACAAGTTTAAGGCTAGGCAGGGCAACAGAGACCCTGTCTCAAAAAAAAAAAAAAAAAGAAGTTAAATCAAGTGATGAATATGTTAATTAGCTTGATTTAATAATTCCACACTGTATACATATATTATAACATCACCGTAAATATAAACAAAAATTTTTAAAATATAAAATAAACCCCAAATATCCCTCCCCAACTCTAGAACTTCTCATTCCCCTTCCCAGCTTATTTTAATAGCATTTGTCCTCATTTAATATACAATTTAAATAGTTAGTTTATTGCCTGTCCCCTCCCTTCCCACTATACACCCAGTAGTATGCAACCTTTGAGAACAGGCATTCTTGTCTATCCTTATGTCCCTGGGGCCTGGAGCCATATCTGGCCTGTAGAAAATGCTCAATAAATATTCATTGAATGAATAGATGAATTCATCTACTCACTTAGTCTTCAGGGGGAGACCTGGCTTTCCTACCTTTTTTGTAGTACAGTGCCCAGCATATGGGTGAGAGGAGAAGTGAACTGGTAAATGAGTGGAGCAGGTGAGGCAGGGAGAGGCCAGAGTACAGGCCACAGCCCCTGTGGTTGGGATTCACCCCTGTGTCTGCTTCTGGGCTTCCTCCTGGTTGTGGGCAGAGGCCGATCCTGGCTGTCCCATGATACTGGGGTAACTGGGAGAGGGCAGGGAATGTGGACAGGCTCTGGCAGGCCGTGTGATTGGTCGGTGCCTCACACATTGTTTGGAGGCACAAAAGCAGCAGCCAGACACTGTAGCCTGAGTTATCCAAGGTGGGGCCTGAGATAGATCAGCCACCAGAGGTGACTGAGTGGCCAACAGGTGAGTGTGACAACACACAGCGTCCTTCTCACCATGGTTTCTGACTCCCCCCTTCCTATGAGACTACTGTCTTCTTAGCCAGGATGTTAAGCCCCAGCATGCTTCTCGTCTCTGTTTCCTGAGCCATTTGCTGTACTAACTGTGCCAAGCAGACTTGTGTCTGTCCTCTAACTTGAGAGTGGCTTGGGGGCAGTGACTCTGTCTTGTCCTCTTATGAGCACTTCACATTTGTTCATCCAATAATATTTATTGAAGGTTATTAAAGGTGACACAAACAACGTCAGGGAATGGGGTTACAACAGCGCACAAAACAGAATCCTTGCCTCCATTGCCTTCATGGAATTGCATTCAGGTGGGGGCAACTAGTCAGTCAACAAACACAATAAAATGTGTCAGGTGCTGTGGAGAGGTACAAAGATGAACCATAAATGTTTGTTGAATGACTCTTAGGGCTCCAGGGGCAACCCTAATGCCCAGCTCATATCAGGCATTAATTAACTCTTGACTTTGAGAAGTAGGACTTGAACCATGATATAACAAGCAGTTGGCCAGTGTGTCTGCCTTCAAGAGCCCAGCAGGTAGCATAAATTGTGACACAGACCAGTTGACAGTGCTCGTGTAGTGAGCACCAACACAGCTGAGGGCCTCTGTGTTGTGGACACAGAGGATGAGACCCTGGGGATCACATGGCTCTTCAGTGGGGGCAACTGCTCTTCAGTGTGCTGACTATTGCAGTGGGGAACTGCGGGCCCCATGTTGCCAAGTCTTCCAGTTATTTCTTTTAAATAAAAGTTCCAATTTTGATTTGTAGGTGAAGTCTGACTTAAATGTTGGCCGCAGATTC